GTGTCGTATGACATCTATGTACCAAGTTTCATTGAAATGTGATGATTAGTACTTGAGATATCAGTGGAAAAATCGAAAATTGACTAATCATTATGCAAATTAGGTAATTAGTGTCCACGGATTATTACCAAAAACTAATCAAAACCTAGCATTAGTTCAGAGCATCTATGTACCAAGTTTCATCAAAATCCAATGAGTGGTTGTTTAGATATCAGTGGAACAGTCATGGAACCACTAAAAAATAGCTAATTATCATGCAAATTAGGTAATTAATATGCACGGATTTTTACCAAAAATTAATCAAATCTGCGCATATGTTCAGAGCATCTATGTACCAAGTTTCATCAAAATCCAATGAGTGGTTCTTTAGATATCAGTGGAACAGTCATAGAACAGCTAAAAATTAGCTAATTATCATGCAAATTAGGTAATTAACGAGCATGGATTTTTACCAAAACCTAATCAAATCTGCGCATTGGCCCAGAGCATCTATGCACCAAGTTTCATCAAAAACCGATGTATGGTTCTTGAGATAGCAGTGGAACAGTCGGACACACATACACACACACGCACATACACACATACACACATACCCACATACACACATACACACACACATACAGACACACTAACTGCAAAGACTCCCATTTTGTGCTTCGCACATGGGAGTCAAAAACAGTTTTCTAAACCTTTTTAATTCTATTTTTAGAACACACTGCAGATAAAAGAAAGTCCTAATCAATTGCAATGAGGCAGTAATACTTTTATTTGAAATATACTACTGATATCCCACAATGCACTTCACTAATCAGTTGGTGCAAGAATCAAATCAACGTAAGTTGACACGTATGTTACACAAATCATTACAACCTCAGGTCAGGTTGTCATCAATCATTCTCGCTTTTGTTGGATTATGCTTCGTTAAGGTTATGCCTAGGACTGGTTATACAAAAGAAAACAATAGCGGGTACACGTCATTGTTTTTTTGCCTATTATTCAAAGTAACATAGCCCACACAACAGCTGGATATTCTACCGGGGTACTTATTGTTATAGCAAAAAACTGGAAAAGGAACATCCAGAAACAAATAATATGTTTATAACTTAATGAAAGTCGAGAAATGCAAGTACACCACCATGTCATGAAAGTATGAATCTAACATGTCATACAAATACTGTTTTAACAGGGTATTATATTTACACTACTGGATGTACTTATTATAGAAATACAACCAGCCAGTGAAAATGACAATTTTTCTATATCGGAAAACAGTTGAAAGACAATTGTGCAGTAATGGCTATTATTAAAGCATTACAGTCATTGAGTTTGAAATTAAATGTATTTTAGTTTTAAGTCGTAAGACTTCCAAAGTGGTAATTGTGACATTTTAAAAATGTTATTTAATTTTTTCACAATAAAAATGGTACAAAATCTACCCCATGCTCTTTCTACGTATTTTCTCTTCCCCATTTATATGAAAAAGTCCATCAAACAGACAAACATTACATTGTCTTCATGTTTCAATCATTTGAAAGTCAACTTTTTAATTTTTTGCACATTTTTGTGTAATTTTTTTTTCCGACCAATTGGATCACATTTCTCATTGGCACTAGTCTTGATTCAAATGTATTTATATGAATTGTGAATTGTCTCCATGTAGTTTATTCAATGATGATAATTTGCCAATCACAGGAGAGTTGTTTTCTTCCCATAATGCTTTGCAAATACTTACACTAATAATGGTTTTCCTTGTATTTTAGGATTGTCCAGCAATTCCTTTAGCGTCTGCTTTGATTCATCCAACCTATCCTGATCCGATGCGTCAATGACAAACACAATGGCATGTGCCTCTGCATAGTAATTTTTCCATATACCACGAATCTTCTTACCGCCTCCGAGATCAAAGACCGTGATTTGAAATTTATCTACCTTGAAATCTATGCTAGAGAAACCAACAGTCGGTGCGACCGTCTCCAAAGATTCTGTGAAAACAATCAGAGTTTGGTTAATTTGCAGTCAAGAAAAATATTAATGTTTTTATCTGGAAGACCAACAAAAGCTACCAGTAGTCCCATTCACAGGCTCCATTACAGCAGATTCCAGTTCCCACAAACTCATTTGAGTCATTGCGAAAAAGAAACTGTTATTTTAACAGGACTGAAGACAGGAACAGCATGCAGGGCTGACAGTTTTACAATCACACATACACCTGGCAGCATTATTGTATTAGACAAAATCTATCTGTAACCAACAATATTATGACGGAAGATAGGTAATCAGTTGTTTCAATCTTACAACAACCAGAGCAATCTTGATAAAATCTTTGTGATTTTCACAGTGGGAAAATTTGGTTAAGACCAAAATTAATAAAATATATCAAAATGCACAAAATATTACACACCAAACTTTGGATGGAAAAAAATATGACATTAAAATTTCCTTCCTACTAGTGAGCAAAGTGACTAATTAATTCCATTAAATTGATGAACACTTTAATGAAACAAAAAAATATACCCTTACTAACCACTACAGTCTATAAATTATATCATAGCACATTTACAAATGATACTTTCACAACATATTGTAAAATACTTAGTGATATTTATGTTGCATTTTAGCAAATACTATTTCTCTGATAACAATTTCTTGAATCAGGGTTACAGACATCCAGGGTTAAAGACATTCAGGGTTAAAGACATCCAGGGTTAAATACATTCAGGGTTAAAGACATTCAGGGTTAAAGACATCCAGGGTTAAAGACATCCATGGTTAAAGACATCCATGGTTAAAGACATCCATGGTTAAAGACATTCAGGGTTAAAGACATTCAGGGTTAAAGACATTCAGGGTTAAAGACATCCAGGGTTAAATACATTCAGGGTTAAAGACATTCAGGGTTAAAGACATCCAGGGTTAAAGACATCCATGGTTAAATACATCAAGGGTTAAAGACATCCAGGGTTAAAGACATCCATGGTTAAACACATCCATGGTTAAAGACATTCAGGGTTAAAGACATTCAGGGTTAAAGACATTCAGAGTTAAAGACATCCAGGGTTAAAGACATTCAGGGTTAAAGGGGAACTAAATAGAGCCTATTTTGGTGTTTGTATTTATCAAGTTATGTATATTGATAATAAATTTGAAAAAAAAATTTAAAAAAAAATGATTATCTTCAGAGTTATGATGATTTAAATATGAGAAACCATAAACCTGCGAAGGACTTCCGTTTGCGCCATCTTGCCATAAAAAAACGCCCTCATGAGGAATAAACAGGTAAGGTAACAAAGCATGATGACGAAATAGTATCTGATTAAATATAAGAAACTTAGGGAGCCATACTGTAGCTGGCTGGACTGGTGAATTGACTTCTAGTCTAGGTTGTTTCGACTTTTACGTTAATGTTATTTACAAGCGTATCAACATACAAACATTATGGATGTGCGATTGATCGAGACAGGCATTTTGTTTTGTTTTTTGTCTGTCTAATAAATGCTGTTTCCAGCACTGCACTGTGCGGCGTGCAAATTATTCAAAGTCTGGATGCT